CTCAGGAAGGTCAGTAAACAATGAGCAAACATGGGTTGTGACTCTGCAGCAGGATTGACAAGGTTGAGGTAGAATGACTGGAGGTCAGATGCTTCAGAATCTGGCCGGGAGGCAGCAGGAATTATGTCAAAATGGGGGAATTCAGGAAGCTGAGGATCGTATACTTCCTGGAATTGTGAAAGCTCAGTTTTCTTGTTGTTACAGCGACTGTGCTTACTGTTGTGACTTTGTGTAATGCATATAAAAATGGAAGAAGTCTTCTATGGAGTCACAGGCGTCTCCTAGCAGTTACCAGTACTTGGCTTCGCCTTGTGGTTTGATGTAAATGTTTGACTTTGTTGTTGATCAGGCCAGGGAGCAGGACTTGGTGATTCCAGCCATGCAGTCCAGCGTGTCTGATGAGCAGTATGAAGGAGCCACTGTCATCGAGCCAGCCAAGGGGTGGGTCTGATTGGTCACCTTGGCAGCCGCATCATACACAACTAATGTAAAATTGAACAGAACATCATCCAAGTTACATATAGGGTACCTCATAACCACCTGTATAAAGTTTAAGACTGTTGTACAGGAGTTGTGATTGTTGTGCAAATGGGTGCTGGTGATAGTGTCTACTAACAATTCTGCCAGCTCACATATAGTTGCCATCCTAAAAAAATGCATCTAAAAGATCTCCAGTACAGTATGTCCCAGTATAATGCACTTTTGCATATCGTAACTGTTCACCTTGGTGTGATGCACTAAAGATGGTATTTTTCAAAGTTGTGGACATACATGTATGTTTCCTGGTGGATAAATGGTAAAATGGAGGTTACATGTATGAGATAGTTCTGCACTCCTCTTTCTCTGCAGGATGCATTTTGAATGCCAACGTTTCTGTGCGGGTTAAGTTCTACGTGCTGATTTACATGTACCTCTATGAATGATGAGTGTGTTCTCTACCCACAGGTACTATGATACTCCCATAGCGACGTTGGACTTCTCATCCCTGTACCCTTCCATCATGATGGCCCATAACCTGTGTTACACCACCCTCCTCAGCACCCCCAGCAGTAGGGCAAAGTAAGATATCACTACCTGTCATTACTCCAGGGTATGGAAGTATTGTTTTTGGTGGCTGAATCATGGATTTTTGTCTCTGAGCTTATTGATTCAGTTTCATGGTGAGGGGAAGGTGATTTTGACAGATGATTGAAGAAGGTGAAGTCTTAACGTGACATGGCACATGCTGGGTGGTACAGTACCGTTCGCGTTATAGTTAACCGGGTACCCCGTTACTAACGAGTTATTTTTTCGTCAGAAAATGGTTAGAAAATCGTCAGTATTTGGTTAGATTTTCGTCAGAAAATGGTTAGAAAATCGTCAGAAATTATTTCTAACGCGTTACCGTTTGCGTTAATGTGATAGGGTCGGATTTCATGTTTGTTTTGCGCGCCGACAAGACAATAGCAATTTGCCACCTCCTGGGGCGTCCGCTAATGTGTTGCGATGTTGCCCCTTGAAAGATAACAGCACCAGAGGCAAGTGGACATGTGATTCGTAAAATAACTTTGTGGTTTATCCATGTGTCGACTGTGTGAAGCGAATTGTGCTATCTTTTAATGCTATTCTATAGTTATTTCTAGCGGAAAATTACGTTGTGTAATACAATGTATGTCAACAAAGTGTAGCAGTGGGCAGACGATGTCTTGTACATTTTGTACCAGCGGCGGCCTACCGCTCTCACAGGACGTCATGGGACGTGACGAAACAAGAAATATCTGCCGTAGAAGAAATATAAATCGGTAACTCATGCCTTAAATTCACGGCGGTTTTTGACACAAAAGAAAAATTATTATAATTTTTGTAAGGCGCGCGGCTTACTAGTACTAGCGGCTTTAATACGGTAAAATGTACCGTCACTCCCGGCGCAAGGACTCGGTTCGCCAGCTGAGGACTTTCCACAACCATGATGATATCATAGTTAATAAAGGAATATATAATAGATCTATCATGTTGAAATGATAATTGTAATACATGGTTCTATTTAATAGCGGTAGTTTTGTTTCTTATTTTGAGGGGGAAACTGTCAAAAATCGAGGGAACGCAAACTGAGATCGGCTCACTTCCGGGTGCATAACGCCAAAATTTCTCGACGATTATATAAAAATGACCACTCATTTGCCGCCTACGGTAGCGTGTACATGGTAGTGCGATCATATCGTGCCAAAGTCAGCGTCAAACGTCAGAAAATCCCCGTAAAAATATAGTTGCAAAACACATTTCCCGCGCACTCAGGGCCGGTCGCCCTGGCCGCTGCCGCCCTGTGTGCAGCATGCTCATTATAATATGCAAGTAGCTACGCTCTGAT